GAGAAAAAGAACAAGAAGAGAAAGTGACAGATATGGTATGTGAATTAAAAAGTTTTGAAAAACGTAAATCAAAGTTATCAAAAAAAATTATTGAAGAAAAAAAACCCAGAAAGTTGATTGATGAAAACAAATTACAAAAGGTTGGCAATAATAAAAGAAAAAAACCTTATAATCATCGTATTTTTGAAAAATTAAAACAAGCACGAGGAAAATAATTATTATTCTTATCTTTATTTAATTACAAAGTTTCATTTTGTTTTTAAAATAATAATAATTGTGTTTTTTTCAAACTATTGTTTATTTATTATTTACTATTATTATTTAAAATTAAACTAAATCTAAAGTGTGTTAAATTGTGTGTTTTGATTATATTATACAAATATAATTACACAAATAATACAAAATAAACATACAAACACTTTTAAATAAATAAAATATTTATTATATCTGTTAATAAAAATGGTAAGAGTGTTAGATATTTGAGTATGATTTAATTATTTTCACTGTTATAAATACGATGTTATAATTTGTAATTAAAACATATATTTCCATTAATTTACAATTAATTATCAAAACAAGATAAGTTGTTATTAAAATAATAAATGTTGTTGTATAATGGATATTAATTACAAAATGATAATAATTTAAAAATTTAAGTTAAGACAATAAATATATATGAAATTAATTTAAAGTGTAATTTATTTATATTAAAATGCAGTTTTGAAACATAAAATATTTTTTCTTTTTTTTCTTATTTTTAACTTGGAAATTTGAACCAAAATCCATTTAGACCAAAGTCCATTTAAACCAAAGTCAAGGAATCGCGGAGACATCACTTATCTCGACAATGGAAAATGTACCGAATGTGGCAACAAATACGCCAATTGTGCCATGTGTAATGAGACGGAATGTCTGGGTTGCAACACTGATTTTAGTTTGAATGATAAAGAATGTGTTGATTGTGTTGGGTTATTTGGTACATGCGACTCGTGTACAAACGACGAATGTTTGCATTGTAAAGAAGGAACTTCTCAAGTTGGGTACGGTTGTTATAATTGCAGTGAACACGACACAAATTGTGTTGAATGTGACAGTTCAAATTGTTTGAAATGTAAAATGCCATATACTTTAAATGGTGAAAATTGCTTTGATTGTTCTGATTTTAAGAATTGTGAGACTTGCAACACCACACAATGTGTCACTTGTAAAAAAGGTTATGTTAATTTGGGTAATGTTTGTGTAGAATGTCGAACCATTTCCAATTGTTCAGAATGTGACCAAACATCATGTATATCATGCAATTTGAAATCCTTTTTGAATGACAAAACGTGTAAAAATTGTATTGAGAATTGCGACGTTTGCAACTCTAAAGACAGTTGTTCTATTTGTTCTGTAGATTATAGATACAATGAAACATCACACAGTTGTGTTATTTGTTCCAGTGGAAATTATGTACACCAAGAGTATTGCAGACCATGCCCGAGTGAATGTACAACATGTGGTTCTGCTACACAATGCACAAGTTGTGTTGATGGCTATTTTGTGAACACTGAAAATAATTGTGTTAGTTGTCTCACAAGAAATTGCGTTTCATGTGACTTGACTATGTGTACAACATGCACCAACGGGTATTATCTCAATAACCGAGTTTGTGAAGAGTGCTCAACAATTGATGAGAAGTGCACAACATGTAGTTTTATTGATAACTCACCACATTGTGATTCATGTGAAAATGGGTATTGGGTTGAAGAAAACAAATGTGTGACATGTGAAGGGTGTGGTTCGCTTGGGTGTGAGTACATCAGTGCGTTGTGTTATAACTGCCCAAATCAGAGTCAAGTTTTGGTGTCGGGGAAGTGCGTGACTGTAGAAGGATGCAAAGTTGTTGAAAACAACGAATGTGTTGTTTGCGACGATATGTACGTAAAAATAGGGAGAAGGTGCATTAAGACGCAAACGGAGACAACAAAAGGTGTGATCAAATTCAGAAAGTTCTATGTCAGTTCTATTGATGTCAATTGCACCATATTTACAACCGAAGGATGTGAGATTTGTGATGAGGGGTATTACCATTACGAAAGTGTGTGTCTGAGATGTGAAGAAATCTATGACAATTGTGAGAAATGTAGTGTTATCACTTTGAGCAATTACAATCAAACGATATGTTCTGTCTGTAAACCATCATATTACCCAGAAATATCGTGTCATGAGTGCACATTGTTGAATGGGTGTTCTGAATGCATCAATTATCTCACATACAATGAAACTTCAACAAAAAAGTGTACAAAATGCATGGATATGTTTATCAACAACGTTGGCGAATGTGTCAAAATAGCAAAATGCCTTCAAGGTGTCGGTGAAATGTGCACATTATGTGAAAAGAATTACTTGGTGTCTGAAGGTCGATGCAAGCCATGTGGTGATGTTGTAATTGGGTGTGAGACAAGTTTTAAAAATGAATGTACTTCGTGCGCAGAAGGACATTATATTGACTCAAACAAACAATGCAGCAAATGCTCAGTAGATAACTGCTTTGTATGTGCTCAAGATGGTACTTGTGATACCTGTGTAACCAACACAACCAAGAATTCCGACTCTTCTAAATGCTTGTCATGTTCCATTTTAAATAGATGTACTTTGTGTGATAACACAACCCCTAATAAATGTTTGTTGTGTGCCCAAAATTACTTCACAAAGAATAAATTGTGTGAATCATGTTCAACTCTCAATAAATGTATAAGCTGCTCTGATGAACTCACATGCCTGCATTGTGTCGATGGATATTATCCAGACGATGGAAAGTGCAAGTCGTGTCTCACAATCAATGGGTGCAAAACATGTTCGTCAACATCAAAGAAATGTCACACATGCAAAGATGTGTATTACCTCGACAACGAGTGTAAATTGTGTAGTGAAGTTTTCAGTAACTCTGCCACGTGTACATTGAAAAAAGTTCTATCGTGTCAGCCACACTACTTTTTGAAGAACAATCGATGTGTTGGGTGTGACGCATTGTTTGGTTGTTCAGAGTGTGAAAATGAAACAATGTGCACAAAATGCAACGATGGACTCAATTTGTACAACAATGGAAGTACTCAAATGTGTTCTCAAGATTGTGACATTACAAAATGTGTTAAGTGTGATATCAATGGAATTTGTGAAATGTGTGAAGAGCCATACACTCTCGACATAGCAACCAACAAATGCAATTTGTGCTTCGATGAACACCAAAATAGTGGAAAATGCTCAACAACAGAAAATTTGATTGAATTTTGTGAATCAAAAAGATTTTATTTAAATAATGGAATGTGTCAACAGTGTAACACCACATTGAGTAACTGCGTTTTGTGTGACAATTCATCAACTTGTATATTATGCTCCACTGGATTTTTGTTGGATGAAAACAACAATTGTGTTGCAAAAACAACTTCTATGAGCATTAAATTAGCAACAAACTGTGAACCCAATTGACAGATATTGGATACTGAAGGAAAATGTGTTGACATTTTAGCAGATGAGTTCAAAGTGTCGGATAGTGTCAGTATGAAGTGTTTTAATCTGTTTTATGGGTGTTATTCATGTGACTACAAACAAAATTCGACAGTTGACGTTGACAATTTGGAGTGCTCTGCTTGTCAAAGTGGCATGTCGTTTGAGTCTCGAGAAATTAAAAAATGTGTGACAACAACAAATTTGATAGACAGTGAGGGGTATAAAATCGAGTGTATCACGGGATGTTCGACTTGTACGAACGGAACGAATTGCCAATACACAAAATCGTTTGAGTTCACAGCTCGTTCAGATGCAAAACTTTCATACAAGAACCACAAATACTGTCAGAAGTACCAAGAAGGGTTTGGGTGTGTGGAATGCTCCAACTCAATCAATTTAAATGGAATTTGTTCCAATATGGAACGAACACAAAAATGCTCGTTTTATTTAGAAAATGATAACACATTCAAGTGTGAAGGATACATCGAACCTTCAAAGACTAAAACACGTGCTAAATTAAAGACCGAGAATGTTGGATGTGAGGTGTTATCGAATGGACTTTGTATAAAGTGTTATTCTAAATACTTTTTGAATAAAGAATATCCGCCAAAATGTGAGTCCTGTAGTAACAATTGTCTGAGTTGCACAACACCAACTACATGTCAATTGTGTTCGAATGGGTTTTCTCTTGTTAATGGAAGTTGTGTTTTACTTTTAAATTGTTTAGTATCAACACCAAGTGGATGTACTGTGTGTAATGAAGGGTATTACCTATTACTTGGTTCATGTAAAATGTTAAGTGAAATTCACTGCAAATTTGTTGTAATTACAGCAAACAACGAGGTGCAATGTGCGTTATGTGAAGAGAACTACATTTTGAGTGAGACGCAATGTGTTGATATGTCGACCGCGCATTGCCAGAGTGTCGACTTATCAACTTCAAAATGTACAATTTGTGAAGAGAAGTACAAATTTGATGAAACCAAAAAATGTGTTTCAATGGAAACGACACAATGCTCATATTCATCATCGGGCGATTGCCTTCAATGTGATAAACAAATCTCACTTGGAACATCTAATGAAGGCGAATCAATTTGTAGCACCGAAGTAAAGACTGGGTACTGCAAAGAAAACAGCAACACAGGGTGCGCCAAGTGCTTTGATGGGCATTATCTGAGTGGCACCGAATGTCTTCCGTGCGATAAGAAGTGTTCAAGTTGTTCTAAAAATGCAGGAAGTTGTGTTACATGTGCTTTTGGGTATTATTATGACACAACAAGCAACGATTGTATTTATGTTGTCGAACTTGCTGAGAAGTGTAAATTGTTCTTACTGAGTGGTGTCGATTGTGCTACATGCAATGAAGGCTATATCCTCATCAATACAGATTGTGTGAAATGTGACGAGAAGTGTTTGAGTTGTGTGGGCAACGTTTCAAATTGTGTGAAGTGCAATGTTGAAAATGGGTATTACGAAGACGTCGAATTTACAACAATTGAAGATAAGAAGTGTGTCATCAACACAACACTTGACAATTGTGAATGGGTTTCAGAGTATGGGTGTGCTGTGTGTCATGATGGGTATTATAAAAACAAATATTACAAATGCACAAAATGCAATTAGTTATGTGCAACATGTTCAAACAATAACACATGTTCGACTTGTGTAGATCAATACGTTTTGATATCCAAAACTTCGCAATGTGTCAAATGGAATTCAATTACAAATTGTAATTCATATGATTTTAAAACCCACCAATGCAGTGAATGTGGTGGAAGCAACAAAGTTGGACCAAATGGTGTTGAATGCGTTCACAATACAAATGTACTTGCAATTATACTTCCAATCATTTTTGGTATTTTAATGGTTGTTATTATCATCATCACAATTGGTTGTGTTCTCTTCTACGTTCATTACAGAAAAGAAGAGATGTTAAGGAAGTCACTTTTGAATGAATTTCTGTTAAAGGATTTGAAAAAGAAAGGTGTTGATATGGTGTATCTTGGCGCTCAAAAAGAACGCATTTTGTGTTCAACACAAGAAATACATTTTGAAGGAGAAATTGTAGTTCAAAAAGACAGTGAATGTAAATTCATGATTGGCAACGACAGAGCGTCTTTATTGAAAATTCAATTCACAACACAAAATGACGAAGAAAAGTTTGAGTTGAATGTTGAACCTTCCATCCCAGTAAGTATCAAGAAAGGTCGTGCTGTTGAATTTACAGTGACTATTCATCCGCTGTGTACACTTGAGAAGACTGTTGACATCACTTGTTCGGTCTTGAACATCAACAAAGGCAAAATATCAGAGATAAAAATCCCAGTCAAATTTGCGTCAGAAATGTCGACAGCACTTGACCCGGACGAGTTGAAGAAAGAGCGAAAACTTGGAGAAGGAAGTTTTGGGATTGTGTACAAAGGAACATATCGAGGAAATGTTGTTGCCATCAAAGAGATGAAGGAAATGGTTGTCGCCAAATTAGGAACTAAAGGGTTTACAAAGAATTCGACCGTTGAGAGTTCAAGTCGAAATTTGACAAAGAACGCAACGAAAAATATGACAAAAAATAACACGACAAACAACTCTTCGATGACAACAAGAGACAAAACAGCGGTTGAGAAACAGATGGATAAAAAGATGGACGAATTCAGAAAGGAAGTTGCGATGTTGGCCAAGTTTGTGAGTCCATACGTCATACGATTCTATGGAGCGTGTTTCATACCAAATAAGATATGTATGGTCACTGAATTGGCCAAATATGGAAGTCTGCAAGACCTGATGAAACATAAAAAGTCTGACGAAGTTGTCATGAAAATGCGAATCAAACTGATGTTGGACACCGCCAAGGGAATTCAGTATTTACACGCAAATAACACTCTTCACAGAGACATCAAGTCGGACAACACACTTGTAACTTCACTTGATTTTAACGACGAGGTCAATGGGAAACTGACTGATTTTGGAGCGTCGAGAAATGTCAACAGTCTGTGTGATAACATGATGTACACGAAGGGTATTGGTACCCCAAAGTACATGGCGCCTGAAATTACCAACGTCGAGAAGTACACACTCTCAGCAGATGTGTATTCGTTTGCAATTACCGTTCTGGAGTGTTTGACATGGAAAGACCCGTTCGATGAAAAGCTATTTCCATACAGTTGGGATATCACAAATTTGATTTCCAGAGGAGAACGACCAACAATTGAATTGGGAGATGGAGAACAGAAAGCTTTAATTGAAAAAATGTGGAAGCAAGACCCCAGAGAAAGACCTGATATGGATAGAATTGTTGAGAGACTCGACAATATATACCAAGTGGAAAATTAAACAATAATAATTCTTTTAAAACCAATTGTAATTGATATTTTTAAGATGTAACAATATATTTGTTATCTTTATAATGATTTATTTGACACAATTCTTCAACTCTTTACATTATCATTTCGACTCTTTTCCCATCAAATTTAAAAGTCCACCCAAATCAATTTGAACTTGAAACTAGTTTTATTGATTTTTTTAAAGAGTTTGTGTTGGTAGTCCTTTCTTTCACTTCTACAAACTCTTCTTTATTACTCTCCACTATCAACTAGCAAATGCCATTTCACTATCATTCAAAAGTCGTTTTCAAAAGTAAATTATACACGTGCTAAGCACTTCCACCTTTTCACAGTTTTAACTCTTTGTTTCAATTTAGTCTTGATCAAACGACCAATGCTAATCCAAATACACAACAACTCTTTACGTGTTCATCTAAATGCCTTCATTTGCACTTAAGTAGTTTTTAATTGTGTTTAATAAAATAATTTTAATAAAAAACAACTATCTTTTCTGTATACAGTAAAATTGTATTCGAAAGTATTTGTGGTTAGCTTCGCCACTTTTTGTTGCACTTCATCAGCAAATTCCAGTTCAATTCACATTTCAAAGTATATGGAGAAGATAATACATATGAAGCGTCCGAGTTGATTATTCCATGATTTGAAAAAGAACTTGTGATGTGTTTTCAAAATTATAATCATTCCCGTTTCTCTCAAAAAAATGATTTTGACAAACAAGGACAACACACTCGTTTCGTTCTTTCTCACAAAGAAATGGGCTTCGTCAATATTTAATAATTCCATTGATCTGAGCAAAATGTCGGATTTGTTATAATGACACACTTCATCATGTTCAATCACAATCCTGATCAGCGCCATGAAGTGTTCAAAAAACAATTTCGTTGAAGTGACTTTATACAATTACACAATTGATTCAAATTGTTCATTCTTCACCTCAATGTTCCGTCAAAAGAATCTTTTGTTAAACAATAAACATGTCATAACGACTCAAAGCCATATTTCAACAATAAACGTGTTAGTTTGTATGGAGGTATCTTCTTTAGAAAAGACTTCAAACGATTCATGTCGTTCATGACATCCTTTGAAGTACTGAAAAGTAGTTGATTATTCATTTGGTTGTATACTTCTTGTCTTGCTAAATTGAGTTTGGGCGTAATGTATTTAAATATTGCATTCTTTTCGTTCAAAAACATTTTAATAAGTTTTACCGCCTTTTTGAGTATTCTGAGTAAATTTCAAATCTCATCTGGAGAGTCAATGTTAAGTTAATTATTCAACGGTTTAACCTCGATGTTCTTCAGTAATCAGAAAAAAAGAAAGAGGAAGCTTCTTCATCACTATAAATGCCATTATTCCATTTTGACAGCTCTTCATCCAAGTTGTTTGTTGTTGATTCTTTGTCATAATTGAATTCCCAAAATTTGATCACAATAACATAATCAACTACATTCGCAAAGAAGTCTACAATATATATTAAATGATGGTATATTTAGATCAGCGTAGTTATATTTTTGTTATGGTATTTTAATTGGAGTATTAGTTTTGAAGAATTGTGTTTTTGTTTTCTTTGTTTCTATAAAAAATATACAATTGCTTTACTATAATTTTACTATAAACAATTTTGCACAGACACACCAAAGTTGCACGGTTTCAATAATATTTTTAATTTGAATTCATTTAAAAATAAGTTTGATTTACAATTTTTAAATATAATTGGTATTAAAATAATTACACAATAATATTAACCTTTTTTCAAGAAAGAGAAAAAATTTAAAATATTATTATTTCGATTGTTTATATAATTATTTCCTTAATATTTAGATTGAATCAAATAATACAAAAAATATACAATAATTTTTTAAGGAATAAAAGAAAATGATAAAAAATTTATTGATATTATTTATAAAACTATATAAATAAATTAAAACAAAAAGATATAAAATAAATAATTCCATTAAAATCGACAAAATAAATAAATAATAAATACAATTTAATAAATATGAATATGGAAAGAATAAAAGGAAAAATAAATTTAATATATAAACTGAAAAAAATCTATCAATACAATATGTAAATATATCAAAGAGAAGCAAGCTGGGTGGGTTTCTTGTTACTATGAAGTAACATGATGGTTGTCATTTACATATATCCATTAAAAAATTTTATATACAAAAGTTTGTTTCATTTTTTATAATTTAATTGAATAATCGTAGTTTATTTTTTTGGTTTTTTTACATAATATATAAATAAATAATTTAATATAATATATGGTTACAATCAGTTACAATTACAATTAAATTTTAAAACAAACACTTTTTATAAAATTGTTAATAATATGACAATTTTTATTTTTTTTTAATTACATTCAAATAATAAAACAAATAAAATCTTATTTAATTAACACTTTCATAACCCAAAACTTTTTTAAAAAAAAAGTAAAAAAGAAACTATTTATTTTATTTAAAACCCCATTCTAACCCAAATCTACCATTAGTCAGTTTTATTTTACTTAAAATAATGAACAAATTACAACTCAATTACCTAAGATGATCAAAAATAATCTTTTTGGTTAAAATTTCATATCGCTTTCTCACGTTTTAACATTTAAAATAAAAAACGCTACATCTTCAATCCACTTTATAACAAACAATGTCAAATAGTCACATAAACAAATATATCGACAATATAAACACAAATCTCGTTACAATCAAATGACAAAATACTTTTTATATTAAAAACAACCAAAAATATTAAACCTTTATTAGACCCCATTTTTCTTTCTTTTTTAAGCTTTGCTCTTGTTTAACACAAATAAACTCATTCATGTTTATTTGTGTGACTAAGAAATATACAATTCAAAATTGAGTTGATCAAAAAAAATATATAAAAATTTTCAAAAATTTGTTTTGTGTATGGAGGCAAAAAGGGTTTAGGTAAAAGAAAAAAATAAAAACTTATTATTATTACGTTTCAGTTTTGAACGTGTTAAAAAATATATGCACAAAACGATTTTTTGTATAAAAAATAAAAAATATTCCATTATGATAATTATATTATATTTGTTTTTATCTATTTTTTCGGGAAAATCACCCAATATTTTATCCATATTATTTAAAAGTTTTGTGACAAATTATTAAAAAAACTGTTAAAAAACAGTACAGTCTGTATTTAAGCGTTATCTAATCTCTAACGTTATCCAATACTTTTGGACCATTAAAATTAAAATATTTCCAATGGGACCACATTCGACTCTCACACCATCTAAATATAGAATTTTTTTTTAACTATTTTAATAATATTTTAATTAAAATTATAGTAAATGGGCGTTTTGGATAATATTTAGTCTGGTTCCCGAAATCAAGAAATGCCGAAAATTAACCTCGAGTTAGTGAAACTGAGTGAGACGGAGCATTGAAAAGAAGGCTCATAAAGACGCACTCAAACAGTCTGTTTGTGCACCGTTTTACCCACTTTCCAAGTCCTCCCTTGGCGCGGATCCCCCTGTCCCCCCCTCGCAAGCGGGGGGGGGGGAACCACATCCGCCTATACACAGTACGGACAAGAAAAGTGGGTGACATGGGGACGCACAAACAGTGGCTGAAGTGTGGACTTCCTTCAAAAAACACTCGCGGCAAATATTTTTTTTTGTAAACGTCATGGTAATAAATGTAGGTCCCTTTTTAATAGCAGTCATAAAAATCCATCCCAATTGTTTCGGTTTTTTCGCGTTTTACCCAATGCCCGATGTTTAGACAAAATTGAAGCTAAATTTTCGTTTACTATATAACATTAAAAAACTGACTTTGTAAAGTTGTTGGCTGTTTAATTAAAAAACAATCTTTATAATCAGATCTTTCCAAATTAATTATTTAAGTTACATGTATAGCTTTATATTTTACACATGTATTGTATTTCATTGGTTTATATTAATAGAAATATTAAAAAATAACGAAAAATCCATTTTAACAAACAAAAAGCAACAAAGAAACTCTTAGAAAACAACAAAATGGTTCATCTTGAGATGGTCTACTTGATGAAAATTGCTCTTCATTTATTTTCCATGTCAGACATCACAACTTTTTTACAAGTGAACAAAGCATGTTTAGTTTCAGTGACATCACTCCACGTCAATCCGTGGTTTTCTGATAGAAATGACATAACAAGCTACGTAGCCAAATTCACTCCAACAACAATGAATTGCAACTCCGTTATAATACCCGACAAGTTCTGTACCAATGTACAATTTCTTCGAAATGTCAAAAATCCAATTGACATTGAAACATTAAAAAGAACCAAAGTGAGCAGCATCTCTATTGGTATCGACTTTATATGGGACAAAGAGTATTTCAAAGCATTGACTCAACTGGAAGGAGTCAACAATGTTGAAATACCCCTTCAAATAGCTGAGTTATATGTTAACAATTTTGACACAACAAAAACAGCAAAACAGTTGTTACCGAAAAAGGTGGTATTTGTGTTGGATTTTTGCAGTGATAATCCTGATAAAATTGATGAAGACAAACTCGACTCAATTTTTGAAAAAGTCAATAAATTTAATACTAAAATGGTTCTTATTCGCAAAAGAAAAGCAGTTTTGCCGTTCACTCGAAAACATGATTTCGACATTTATGTTGAAATAATCGACCCTTCAGAAATTGAATTTGTGAAACCTTTAACACCCTCAAAAGTGACGTTTTTAGTAAACACAAACATTGTTTATAATAACGAAAACAACATTTTGAAAATGATTAATAACAGTGTTTGTAATAGTGTTGAATTTCTTATTACAATGGACGTCGACTTTTTAAAGTACGAATTTCCTCATTTTGTCGGGGAAATTGAATTTAAACAATATACAATGATTGCAAAAGGGAATTACTACGTTTCTTCTTTTTATATTCCAAAAAATTCATTTTGTGTAATTCTCCCAAAAAATATCAAAAATATAACAAAAATCACTGGAGAAAATGTGCTGTTTTCTGTTTACAAAGACACCCAAAATGTCCTCAAAGTAACAAAACTTGTTCTTTGTGAAAACACGAATTTTGTGAGTAAAATGGAGACAGAAAATGGTAGCAAAATGAAAATGTGGGATACAGCAATAAATAAAAGAGAAGTGTTTGGAAGTGTTGAAGAAGTAGTTTTACAACATGCCACCAACTGCAATGTGACTGGATTTCCACGTCTTAAGAAAGTTAAAATTCACGATTCAAACAACGTGAAAATTGACTTGGAAAAATGTGAAATTGTTGATGCAGCATATTGTAACAATTTGTCTCTTAATTTTTCTGAAATTACAGACAAACGGCACTTTATTTTTTCAAATATAAAAAAATTTAAAATTAATTTTGGGAAGACTACAAATCGTCTTGTTACTTTGGAAATGTTAAAATGCGTAGACGTTTCTATAAAATCTGAAAACGAGACATTTAACGATTTGAAATTCGTTGAGTGTCAAAATCTGAATTTTAAAAATCTAATTTCAACTTTAAATATTCAACTTTTTGAGTCCAATATTATCAACGGTAACATTTACAGTGAACATGTACTTTTGAATGGAATAAAAGAATCACAGCCAATCAATTTCTCACAAACAAAAAGTATTTCATTATTTGAAATTTCAAATTTCACATTTTGTAACGTTTTTACAAATGTGAAAATGTTATCTGTCACGCTGTGTCACAATTTGGTTGTTTGTAATGAAAATGGTTTTTTAGAAGAAATCAAAGCTATTTCTTCCGACAAAATAATCTTTAAAGGGGTATACAAACACCTCAAAAAGTGCTCAATATCTAATGATACGACTATTGAATTTTCAGACTTTAAACCCATTCGAATTGAAAAAGAAATATGTGATACTCAAATCGAAGATTTTGGGTTTAAAGAAAAAGTCGAAGTTAAATACAAATACAACGAACGCAATGAAATATTAAAAGACGTAGAAAAAGAAGAAGACGACTCGGTTAATTTGAACAAAATGACTTTTTCTGAATATCTCAAATACCAGCAAACAAAAAAGACCAAAAAGGAGTCTGAAGAGAAACCATTAAAAGAAATAAAAGAAGTTGAAAAAATCATTTCAAAAGAATTTGTTGAGCTTTTCAATGCTCAAAATGTTGTGTTAACTCTTTGTGTGTCAAACACGATAACAAATGGTGTGAACTACATTTCACGTCTTAAAATAACAAATTTTGAAGGGACACTTAAAAGGGTATTTGACACCAAAATCGGCATTTTTGAAGTGATTGGTAGTTCACTCAAAGTCTTGTTGAACGACATAAAAACAGTTCAAATTTTAAACAAAATTACATTGAAATGTTCTGAAGTGTCTTTTAACAATGAATTTCTTTTTACAAACTTGTTTATCGAAGACTCTAAAATTACACTTGAACAATTGGGACTTTCTTTAAATAAAAAGAATGATACTGTGAGTAGTATTGTCATCAAAAAGTCTGTAATTGACAACAGAATTTGCACAACAAATGCAATCGAATTTGTTGAAATAGACGGCGGTGATATCAATACAAATTTCTTGAAAAACTGCACCGAAAAAGTTGTTTTGAAAAATATCAATGATAAAGAAACAATTATTATTGGAAATAATGTTAAACAACTAATTGTTATAAATTGTCAAAAATTAAGAAATTGTGTAGTTTCGCCAGTTGTGAATGTCGAAATTACTAATTGTGAGAATGTCTTAATTTCAAATGTCAAAAAAGAAAAAGTGAAAATTGTAGAATCACTTAATGTTGATGTTCAAGAAGTTCAACTCCATACAGAAAGCGTTGAACACACAAAAACAAATCAGAATTTTGGTGCTGTAGATTCTAAAATAGCAAAAGGTTATAATAATACAACGATATTTAAAGGCGATTCGTATCTATTAAACCTTTTTAAATAAGATAGATAATAGAAAAACAATGGAGATTAATTACAGATATTTAATACTGTTCGTTTATTTTTGATAGAGTTAATTTGTGTAATTAATTTTTTGAAACAAAATAGTTGTAATTTAAAATACAAATAAATAAAAAGTTTTATTAAAAAACAGTTTTTCAATTCAATTTTTAATATAATAAGGCGATATATTAATGATTTTTAAAAGTTATATTATAACATATGATATATTGAAATAATGTTTTATTGTTTGCAATAAAAAGATAAAAACAAATTTGGATTAATACATAAAACAGTCATTATTGGGTCTTTTATCGAAATCCTATTTTTATTTAATTAATTATTAAACAACCATTTTGACAAATCGAATTAATAGGAACAATACTTGAATAAAAAACTATTAAATAATACAAAATGGAACAACTTCAACGTGTTTATTTAATGAATGTAATTCTCTATTTAGATTCTTTAGATACTCTCAAAACGTTTTTATTGGTATCAAAAAACTGTCACACAGCGTTTACAATGCTTCGCATTAATCCATTTTACTCACTTAAAACACTCAATGAAGAAATGAAAATGTTTTCTTATTCAAAACACGAAACAATACGATCCACTTATATTCCTCATTCTTTATATTTTCCTTCTGCTAACATTCTTGAGCTTTCCCTTGTATTTTCCGAATACTTTGACCTTCTCACGGAAACTACTCTTCTCGACAAAATCACAAAACTTTCCATCGTCTTTTCTTTGCGAGTGGCAGACAAAAAACTTTATTCTAACTCAAATTTTGACATTAAAAAGTTTCCAAATTTAAAAAATTTGAAACTTTACTTTGAAGCAGTCGAAAATACGAACTATTATGGAGGAATGAATTTCAACGATGCAATTTGGGGCCAATTTGTCGACTTCTCACAGTTTGAAGATTCAAAAGTGTCAACAGTGTATCTTCTTTGTGACGACCCAGACAGATTTGCATATGCAAAAGGTTCAGTTCAATACCTTGATAGTGCACTTATCTTTTTTAGAAAACATATTAAGAAGATTTGCGCGTTGTCCAAAACACGATTTTACATAGTAACAGACTTCCCTGAACAGTTTAAGAAATCTGATTTATTATGTGAAAATGCGACTTTTGTTTCATCCAAATTTTTGCCAACAAAGTATATACCTCTACATCGAAATATAAATCAAAACAAAAACGAAGAATACGAATTTGTATCTCCAGACGACGAAATATCAAAAGAAAAAGTACTTTTGACATACGAGTGTGTGAAGCGACCAGAATCAATTGAAGAAGTTGAAAAAAACTATTCAAAGTATTATTTGATGGAACTTGATTTGAGAGGAACACGATTTGGAAGTGTATTTAATTTAAAAGAAGTCACCAGCTTGACTGCTGTGAGTGTCTTCCAATTATATAACAATATCGATTTAAAACTTCCAAATTCAGTTAAAAAGTTGCAACTCAGAGTTGGAGAAAAAAACGAAACACTTGTCGATTTCATGGACGTCAAAGAACTGGAATTAACTGGAAAATTTGATTGGAAACTTCCTGGACATTTAGAAAAACTCAAAACGGACAGAGCAAGAAATTGGAGTGTGTGTTTACGTTTAAGAGAACTTGAAATTGACAATTGTAAAACAGAGTTGACAAATTCCATTGAAAGTATACCTTTTTCTGTTACAAAAATAGTATTGGATGATGTTCTGATTAATAAAGTGTTGCTCTCAAAGAGCAACGTCCAATCGTTGGTAATAAAAAACACAAAAGTACATCAAGTAGATTGTTCAAAATGTCTCAAAGAGATTATAACAGACTTTAAGATAGAGACTATTAATAACTTTAATGGTAAAGTAACAGTTTTACAAACAGAAGATGTAGTAGTTCAACCACAATATGATGATTATGACGATTATGACAATCACGATTATCAAAATCAATCAAGATGCACGTTACAGTAATCATTGAGTGTGTCGTTTTATTGTTTTTTATTTATTAATAAACTTGTAAGTTTATATTTTCAATTTTGAATTTGAAATTAAGCAATAACCAGTTTCAACAAAAAAAATTAATCTTATTTGTATGTTTTAAACAACCAAAAGTGTAATGAGTTTATTGTTTCTAATTTTTATAACAATATTTGTAATAATTATAATCATTATTATTTGGCAACATCATTGAAAATGATTATAAAGTGATAGAAACTTGGTACTGTTATATTAGTTGTGATATTTAACACACCATAACTAATATATTGTCATCATTTGATCGATAATAATAAATATAATTTGGTATTATTTAGATAGAATAGTTGTACAAAAAACTTGTAATGGAACTTAATAACTTTTGGTTATTAGCGCAAAAACACAAAGTTGTATGGTTATTTATTTTATTTTTCCGACATTCAATATATTTACTATTCTTATCTCGATATGATGGTGCGAGTTTAAACTGAATAAAACAAAGAATCAATTAAAAAATACTAGTTGATATAAAAAGAGATTAGTTATATTAAGTTAATATGAATACAGTTGTTTATAGAGTAGTTAATTATAATATAAAGATTCTTATTAATATTCAATATTTAATTTACAGAGAGATCTTTTGTCGTTGTCTCATAATTATAAAAAATGTAATAATAGTTTCTTTGTTGAATTAGAATACAAAAGCCAATTATATTTATTTATTGTACAACATAAATTGTGATATAATATATAACAACAAATTCAAACGAAAAGTTGTTTATTTAGCCCAACCTGGTGCTATTGAACTTCCGCCATATTGGAAAGACTGTCCAGTACATCCACAGCCATTGCAATGGTTGGAAGAACCTCTCTTCTTTCCACTACAATCAGCTCCACAAGAATTGCATTGGCAAGCTCCACACTTTGAGCATTTTTGCCAATTATTAGAAACACGACAATATGGGCAAACACCAGTCATAAAACTCTTGTTAACAATATTAGTATAATCCTTTTTATATATAAATTCGGCAAAATATGAGACTCAAAAGATAAAAAAAAATATTTGAATCTTCACATTTTCGTTAAAACACAAATTTTTATGAAAAACAATAATAATGTTTTGGACAAGGTAATAATTATTTTTATATACAAGCTGTAATTTAATGATTGAAAATATTAAATAAAGTTATTAAAAAAAATAAAGTGTTTTTCAAAAACCATTATATAATAATAAAAAAATAAATTTGTTTCAATATTTTTTACTTGAGTTTTGATAATTTAAATGATATAAAGATAAAACATATTATCACAAAACTGGCAAATATATAGAAATTTTCAGCCACCATCTCTCATATAAGATTTTTATTCACTATTAAATATAATATGTATATTATAAAAAAATACCATCTATTTTACTATATTTAAAATATAACAATATAAAACTTGAATATATTGGGATTAATTCCAGAATTCAAGAAATGCCAAAAGTCACCTTTGTCAATATATACCGAGTGGTACTATGAATTGAAAAAAAATGTTCCAAAAGCTGCGTTCAGCCAATAGCTGAGAAGTAAACTACCTTCAAAAAAACAGCGACTAATATTTTTTAATCCAAATGGCAATGGCAGGAAAAGCTTATTTTGCAAATATTACAATTTAAAAGTTAATATAAATAATACTATTTTAATTATTATTTTATTATCGCATTCTTTAATTCAAATTATTTTATTTCTGATAATTTAAACAATAACAAAGATAATTATATACTATATTTTAACAATTATATATAAAAGTATAGTAATTTTATAATAAATCAATTAAAATGGAAGAATTTGACTATCAATTCAAAAAGAACTCATTAAAAAAATGAGTGAATTTCCCACCGCCCCATTCTCTGTAATTAAAAAATATACACTTGATTCCGATATATACAAAGATAATAGAACAACAATTGTTAAAGCTTTGGAAAGTAGTGGGGCCGGCCGACGGGAAAAGCAACTTGTTGCAATCAAAATTACTAAAGTCGACGAAAAAAAGAAAAAAGAAAATGAAAGACAAGAAGCATATTCAAGAATGATGTGTCACACAGACAACCCTCATGTCCTCCATTATAACACTTCGTTTTACACCAAATTTGTTTGTTATTAATTATAGTATTTTTACCATTATCACTATTACGTAATTTTTAATATTTATATTATTATTATTTTAAAAAAATATAAAAATTATTTATTTTAATTTTATATTATAATATTTTAATTAACCAGACTATGATATTTTATTAATATATTAAAACGATTTTATTATATTCATTTATATAATTTTATTAATATTTGAGAGTTAAATAAAGACTTTGGTGTCTCAACAAGTATTATTAAATCACAATATTAATATACAATACCAAATGTCTGATATTAGTACTATTTATTGTTGTTTTTTATTACACTGTGTTTTACCTTTTCAATCAACTTTATTATAAAACTTGATATACGAATTATTATCACCAATTACTTTTTCGAATTTATTTAATATAATATATAAATATAGTAATATTTCAATGAATAAGTTAACATATTCAGAGAGGAGAACTTGAGTATTGGAGCGTAATGGAATACTGTAGTTTCCAAAGTCTTGATGTGTACTGGAAAAGCAATCCGAGCATTCAACAAGACGAGAATTTATTTTTCATCAGTGACATTGCTGTTGGTCTTGAGTACATCACCGAGAATTTACATTACCAACACCTGCACTTATACCCCTGTAATGTCTTACTCAATCGCGACCCGGCCTCTGTGTTTCCCAAAGCCAAACTTTCGAATTTCGCGCTTTGTGAATCGATCGATGGGACGTCCCCACAAGACCTTTCGTTGATGGACATCGACTACGCTGCACCGGAGTTTTTAGACTCTTACAGTCACAGTCGAAGTGATGTATGGTCCTTTGGCATTTTAATATATCGACTTCTTGTTGGTCGGTGTCCATTCCAATTACTTCAAATGGACACATTCAGCGCACTTCAAGCGCAAGTTGTTATTAACGTTCGAAGTGCTGTGCAGAATGACATGGCTGCGGACTTATTAGAGAGAATGCTCAAATACGACCCGGATGACCGGATTACGATGGAAGAGGTCTTAAAGCACCCATTCATTTTGATGTGCAAAAATCACAAATACGGACTTGAGGGGAAGAGAGAGAATTATAAGGCAGTTCAAATGCTGGACCACGGTAACTTCGGACAAGTCTTTTTGGCGGAGACCGAAGACGGGACTAAATACGCAGTCAAAGAAATTTCAAACAAATTTGAGTCACTCTTAAGAGAAGCAACGTGTATGAGACTTTGCAAACACCCAAATCTGGTTGAGTACAAAGACTTTTTCACGTGGAATAAGTCAATTGTGGCAGACTTTGTCGGAGGAAATAATGTCATTGGGAAATACTTCTATTTGGTCATGGAGTACTGCGACTTTGGCAATTTGGAGTCGTATTTAGTCCAAAAAGAGGCGCCATTGTCCAACCAAGAAGTCTCTTATTTTTTGGGAGAGGTGTCTGCAGGACTCCACTACTTACATTTCAATAAAAGAATTGTCCACAGAGACTTGAAACCGGCAAATCTACTCTTGAAAAAGTCCAACTTCAAATTTCCAATTGTTAAAATAGCGGACTACGGATTTTCTAGAGGACTCAACGATATGATGGGGTCTGCAGTGGGGACACCTATCTATGAAGCTCCGGAAATTAGAAAGAACTTGCCATACTCTTCTAAGAGCGATTTGTACTCTTTGGGCGTCATTTTGTATCGTATGGCAACACTCGAATTTCCTTTCACGGACGATTACGTGCTCTTCCAAAACGCCATGATGAACGAACAACCCGTCAGCTTCTCAGAAGAAATTGTAATCGATGAGGATTTGAAGGATCTTATTAAACACTTAATTACACATCACGAGGTTGACAGATTGTCGTGGAAACAATTCTATGAACATAATTATGTCATAAACGCACTGTCTATGTCAAAACAAATTAAACCCGTGGTCGAAGAAGACGACGATTTTGAGTCGTTTTAATTTTTATTGATTTTGGTAGTACTTTAAATAACATTCAACAAAATTCAATTGGTCTTAAGTCGGGAAATTTGAAACATAAAAATTTATACATGTTTTATGAAAGTTTATAATGTGCATAACATCACACATTTAAAAACCATCACAATTGTAGACAATCAAAATATCTGTTTGTAATATTATTATTTGTGAATTGGATTAAAATAAACAACAATTACATAATACGTGTTAATATTATTTTTATAACTTTTATAAAAATAAAAACATTTTTTTATTTACAAATTTTAATAATTGGAAAAGACTATCTAAAAATTAACATTTATGACAAACAAAATGGTTTTCTTGTGGATTTTCAATAAATAGCAATCTTTTACAATAAACATTTTGGAAAAAGAAAGTCAACCAAGAACTGGGTGTTATTTTAATTTAAATAAACAACTTTTTATATGAACATAATAAGAATTTTAATAAAGAGTAAAAAAAACAAATTTTATTGTTATATCCAAGTCAACTCAGATTATCCCAAAAGCAAAAATATTGTCAAACCTTGACAAATATCCAACTTTTAAACTCAAAACCGAATTTAAATAATATTTGGCGAAAATAATTGTTTTATCAACTTGCAAATCACAATGAACAACATTTTTAGTTATTTATTGTGTTCATAAATAGCACTATTTCTTATTATTTACATCCAATGAAACAAATTTCCAATAAAAATATTTTTTTTAGTTAAATCACGTTTAATGATGTTCATCTTAGCACATAGACTGTTCTGAATACAAATGACTGTCTTCCTTTATGTCAATAATTTAAAACAATTCGAATAAATATACAATAATTTAAATTGTTATTTAACTAATAAAATCGAGTTTATTATAATAATTATATAATAATTATAACTATAATTATTTTTGAAAATATAACAACATTATTAAATTTTTTTATTGAATTCGTCTTTAAAAATCAATAATTTTTTTACAATGTCTATCGCAACTACCTCTGTATCTTTTGTGATTATATCAGACACACACCGAAAACATACATTTCTTTCTTTACCACATGGGGACTTTTTAATTCACTGCGGTGACTTTTCGAATAGTAAAGAATATTCAATACGAAAATTTGCAAAATGGTTGCATACTCAACACTTTTTACATAAAATCTTTGTGTTGGGTAATAACGAACTTAAAATCACAAAAAGCACAGAACAGATATCAAAGTGGGTATCTGAAAGATGTCCAGAAGCTATTTTATTAAATCATCAAAGTGTGACTATTTGACACTTTGTATTTTATGGAG